ATTCAGAGAATCACCAACAGCAAATGAAACTGGAGTGATGTGATGCTTGCCAGCGCAAAACCCACCACCAAGATTACAGGGTGCTGTGGGTGGTTTTTAGTGCATTGTTATATGGTTGCTAGGTGTTTGCATAGTTGAAACAGCCCACCTATAAATCCGTGTGATATTCTCGTCCCTAGATATTACTTGGGTGTTGTCTTCAATGAACAATATACTGTTCAAAAGTACATTGTTAGAAAAGATTTCTGTTTGAAATAAATTGTTTTTTCTTTCTTTTCATCAAAGATTCCTGAATAATTCATTGTTTCCACAAAAATATCAAGCCGCACAACTGTTTTTAACTGATAATAATAAGAAATGTTTCTTGAGCACCAAATCAGCATATTAGAAGGATTTCTGAAGGATCATGTGACACTGAAGAATGGAATGATGCTGAAAATGCAGCTTCGTCATCAGAGTAATATTAAAATACAAAACTGCTGTTTTAAATTGTAATAATATTTCACAGTATTCCTATGTTTTTGATTAAATAAATTCATTGTCCATAAATCTGATCTCTTAAAAAAGTAATAGCGCTCCTCTTCTAAGCAAGCAACGTGATTTGAGGTATAATTCATGTTCATAGCACAATCGGGATTATTACAGGACTAATACTAAATTATAGAGACATTCGCCTTAACAAGCAATATTTTTTAATCATATCCAATCACTTGTGCACATGATTTGAAATAGTTTGAGACTAAATCACATAAAGCATTCGTAAGACCATCATGCATTTGATCTATTTTTTGCTTGAGGCCTCAGACTTTCTGTTGTCCCAGTAGCCCAAAACGACTCAGTATTTTTGAAGAGATCAGTTCCTTGCACTGATGATGTCACTGCATCTTCTTCACAAACGCTTATTTCCATCTGCCATCTCTCTATCGCAGAGCATGCGAGGGGCTCCAGCGTGAAGGTTGCATCTGCTCTCCTCACCTCTAAGCTTGAGATAGGCAATCAGTGCGGGCGGCTCAAAATAGGCCACAGTCAGGTTCAGAGGGTACTGATATTGGTCGCGCGTGTGCACATACGTATGAATAACCCCTCTTAAACTCACGTGATGGAATCTTAACTGTCTTACAAACACACCGTGGCACTCAACCCACATCACTACATTGGATCTCTTCCTTCCTGCAGAGATAATGTGAACAAGACAACGCAAAAATGCAGAAAGCAAGAGCGCAGGAAAAAAAAACATGCAAGTCAGAATTTAACTGACGAAAGCTTTTGATAACGTGGGAAAGGTTGCTGTGTGCATTTGTTGACCATTTATTGCACCTATATTAAAATGTTTTGCTCATACTTAGGACAGTAAGTCTTACTAATCAACTGTGGTGCAACTCAGTTCCACACAACATTAAACCATGCAGCTTCTTGAAGTAAGGAGTGCTATAACTTTTCGAAGGGCGCTTCTAGTTTTCACCTGCAGACGATAAAATAGCTGAGAAAATGAACAAGAGATCTGATCCATATTTTACAACCAGAATAGAGACTTGAAAGTGGGCTTCAGAAAGCAAGAGCGCAGGAAAAAAAAACATGCAAGTCAGAATTTAACTGACGAAAGCTTTTGATAACGTGGGAAAGGTTGCTTTGTGCATTTATTGACCATTTATTGCACCTATATTAAAATGTTTTGCTCATACTTAGGACAGTAAGTCTTACTAATCAACTGTGGTGCAACTCAGTTTCACACAACATTAAACCATGCAGCTTCTTGAAGTAAGGAGTGCTATAACTTTTCGAAGGGCGCTTCTAGTTTTCACCTGCAGACGATAAAATAGCTGGGAAAATGAACAAGAGATCTGATCCATATTTTACAACCAGAATAGAGACTTGAAAGTGGGCTTAGCAACTGCACTATTAACTTATAAATGTCTTTTAAGCTTCTTTATTTCAACAAATACAAAACATAAAATATTTCAAAAACATATTTCAAAAATATATATTTTGACCTAAATTTAAGATTTATTGCATATAAAATGTCAATCCGTACAGTTTTAACATTAATAACCTATTAACGTTTTTTTTATCTGTTTAGTTTTATTTAAATAATCATATTTTTAAAAAAATGCTTACATCTGTTCAATGTGAACACAATTACATTTATTCAGTTACAAAGCATGAGCATGGTTAAAAAAATATATCTGTGTGGAACAAGCGATATTCAGTTATTTAAATATATGACATTCAACAAATTGGATTGATTGATATTAAATATATAAACCAGGTTATTGTGTATTTAAAACACATTGTCTATTACAGAAATCTCACCTATTTCATTTATGTATGACTAACAAATATGTGTCACATTAGCTTAGCTGGTCAAAACTGTGTAATCCAAATGGATGGAAATTTTATATGCAATTCAAATACATTCATCTTAAATTTAGGAGTTGTTGATAGGTTGGTCAGTAATGAGAGACTTCAACATTTGATTGGACTTTGGATAAAGACCACTGAAGACACAATTGGTGACATATTGGCTTGTTAAGCTCTTAAATAATGAAGAGCCCTCCCTCTTTACAATCTCATGTATGCATTTGAACTTTTAAAACCCAAAGAATGATTACACACATAGCGTCAGGTCTTGACTTTGGGTTATCTCTGTCTCTGATCCCGGGTAGACTCTAAAACATCCTGCGCTGCTGAGCAGTATTGTGTATTATGATGCAGTGCGTTGTGAGGAAATGTAACATTTAAAAATGTGAGCACGAAACCCCTGTGATTACTTACGTTTAATCTCCCTTTGTCTGTAAGGAGGAAAGACTAATACAACAAAGCTCAGTCAAAGCATTTTAATGAAAGATCCCACAAATACACTGGTCTCTGCGCTACTGAACACTCCTGAAACTCCAGACACACCCTTTACAGCCAGACACATGACTCAGAAATTAGCTAGAAGAATATTCTTCAAAGTTGACAGGACTCTATTGCACATAAACTGCTTTGCTATGCATACAGAGCAATACGTTGTACTAATATTACAGCATTTTTTGTGCAGTCATTTAAAGTAGAGTAACTTATCATGGGCCAGTATGAAAGATTAAGATTAAAGATCCTGGAATGATCTTTATTTTTATTTCCGGATGCTTGATCTGTCCCTTAGTTACCTTCACGTTTACTAACTTATTTATTATTAAGCATGTTAGCTGATATCGAAGCTCCAAACTCAAGTAAACACTAACAATTAAACAGAAGAGTTAATTACAATCGGCTAATTTCGATTTGAAGTCATAATGTGGCTCACAGATGACCCTGATGCAATCTGGGAAAGATCCCTCAATGAATTACGTAGAAGGAGGAAACCACAGAACACAAGATGATTTTATGTTGGACATTTGTGGGTTCCCTGTCATGGTCTGTGCTGCACCTGAGTGAATATCTGCTGAGTCACATCTTCTCAAAAAAGTTTAGTCATGCAGTCATGCTAAACAACAGAATGGAAATTGTAACAGTGTCAACCGAAAGCTAACAGACTCTTGTACACACAAATACACACAAAACAGTGATCGCACAAGATGTGGTCTAAAAAACCCTGAGAAGTAACCCAAGAACCTTTTTGGCTAAAACACTAAAGACCAGGTTGCTGATGCATTACAGAGGGCCAGATCATGGTGCCAAAAGGCCCGTAGGCATATCATTGTCCCCCACACATAGTGGCAGACCCTTAAGAAGAAATATAAATGTGCATATAAATGTGTCTTAACAGTGTATGGATACAACCACCCTACAATGATAAAAATCCATTCACTCCTTTTTTTTAATCCCCAAAAAACCTAAACAGTCTCAATTATCAAGCTGGTTTGCTTGTCTGAGCAGTATGATGTCATACTGCTCAGGCCCCGCCCACAAGCGCATATTTCCACTCTCAGCCAGTTGTATGCTGTCCGTCATTTTCTCCGCGCTCGAGCAGCTGTAGTGGCAACGTCTCATAAACAATGCAGGTGTTTTGTAGCTGGATGTAAAAGTGAACATAAGAGTCTTCATTAGTGAGGATGCAGTGGATTAGTTTTGTTTTACACAAAAAAATGTAAAAGAGGGGTGGGGTGATCAGTAGCTCATTATCATTTAAAGAGACATGCACCGAAATGGGTCGCTGTGCACAGAGCTGTTTTTGGCAAAGTAAAAACGGTGTTGTTTATCACAACCATTGAGAAATTTTAAAGGGGTTCTATTATGCTCTTTTACAAAGTCTTGATTTTGTTTTGGGGGTGTACTAGA